ATTGTCAAACAAAGATGGACATTGTTAAAGAAGTTGCTGAAAGAGTTGTTATCTCAAAATTTGCTTGTATGCTGCACATTTTATGATGTACTAGTATATCTTCTTTTGATATGTCCTTTTTTTATTTGATTTTTCTATTACTGTGCATTATGAGAATCAAGATAATGCACTTGTATAAGAAGATAATGCATTTTCAGAACTAAGGTAACTGATTATATATTTAGTTATCGTGCATCCTCAAAATCAAATTTGATGCATGAGAGTAAAATTTTACTGTCACAAATGTGATGCATCTGTACATAGTGAATGTTATGCAAAAAATGATGCATTTAAAATGTTTTGTGCATTATTAAAATGTAATAATTAATTGAAATGATTTGTTGGAAGGAAATGAAATAAAACAAATGATGCTATTGTGCATTATTAGAATGTAATGCTACATTTCTGTTTTTTTCTATTATTGTATATGCATTATCAAAATCAAGCTAAATGATAATGCATTCTATTACTGTACATTCTCAAAATTAAATTTGATTCATTTGATGGTGAAATTATCTCGACACAAATAAGATACATTTGTATATTGTACATTATGAGTATTCTGCAAACAATGATGCATTTAAAATATTTTGTGATACATTCGAATATGGATTGGAAGCACGCTGAATGACACCAATATTTGAAGATTAAAATGCATAAATAATATTTCCAAAGTGCAAGTTAGGAGTCTGATAAGTCGGTCTTAGGTTAGTTCTTTTTATTCGTTTTTAGGTATTTTTGATCTTTTTGTGTTTAAATTTTAATTGCTTAGCTTAGTTTTATTTTAATTCTCAATTTTACAATCTTTTCACTTTTCTTTCAAAAATAAAATTTTTAATCATTTTTATATTATTATTTTCTTTGTTTTATTTTTTCTAACCCAAATTATAGAACGATATTTTTTCTAACCCGAATTTTAAGTCTCTTTGAAAAAATAAATTGCTGAAATGATAGAACGATATGTATTATGGATGTGTGTTCGAATCTTGCATGGACAAAATATTTCTCAAATTTGTACAGTTGTCCAGAATACAATGCATTCTTAGGCTTTCTCAACACATCCAAAAATAAGTTGAATAAAATCTAAACTACGAAACATAGTGCACATATCGGGTATTAGAGTGCATTCATATTAAAAAGTATTTATAATTTTAATTTTTTTACTTTAAAATGTGAGAAGAAAATAATATCAAATTTTTATATTCAATACTAGTGTCATTGGATAGATCTCCATAAGTGGTTTCCAACGCTATATCTTTTATCAAAAATGGACTTGTGTATAAAGAATTATACTCAAAATAAACATTACATAATAATAATTAAATAAGTTTAATTATAGGGTGAAATTAAGATGGATAGGGGCGAACAACTAGAGATAGGATGCGTGATTTTAGTGCTCCGCTAGTTTACCAAATTGACCTTACTATGCAATAATTAACTATTTTATTCTAATCTAATGATTGCTTTCCATATTAAGAGGTCAACAAAATTGATTTATTTAAGCCCCACGATTCATCCAATTTGACGTCTCTGATTTATTCTTATTTCTTTCCAAGCATCATTCTCACAGGAACCACCCCCTATATATATATATATATATATATATATATATATATATATATATATATATATATATATATATATATATATATATATATATATATATATATATATATATATATATATATATATATATATTT